ATCCAAGTTAAATCTTTAGAATCCACAAGCACCAATCTTATCAGATTAGATTATTATAAAACAACATATGCTTGGTTTTATTGCATAGCACTAAGTAGTAAGAGAATTATAACCATTTTTTGGTATTATTGCAATAGCCAATTACTATTAATAGTCCTAAAGTTTGTAATTCCTTGGCTTGAAATACAAATACAAAAAAATGTCTTCAAATCCATTAGAGGGAAAATGCACTACTGGGAATATTCATACACAAAACACTAAAAAAATCTCCTGCCCTTTTGCTTACCTGTTTATACAATAAGCATTCCAAACAACACATTCTAAATAAAAGCTCCTCAATGACCTCCGGGAAACCAAAATATGTGTTTTTAAATATTCACATACATGCCTCAATTATCCATGTTCAAGTTTTTTACTCACAATATTTAAAGGCAAAGTATCCACAGGGTAGTAGAAAACAGTTGGGAGAAAAACATTACAAACACATGGGAAGTATTTCACCTTTCATTTTTTTTTTTAGTCAATGGAGTTGCCATATAAACCTGATGAGATATATTGCTTTGTTATCACAGTAATAAATTTGGATCACCAGTGTATTAGGAGGCCAACTTAATTAGGCCGCAGAACTCAATGACAGTGTTATTAGCAGTAAAACGGCAATCAACTGCAGCACAAGATGTAAAACTTGATCTTCCCAAAGTATTTATCCCTGGGGGCAAGGAGTTCTGATTGACTTCTGGGGCATTTGTAAGCAGGGAGCCTGATCCAGCTGTCCCAAAATCATTCTCTGTTGAATTTGCAGGGATTACTCAGCACACAAGTCTCACAGTTGTACCGTATAATTTTTTACATTGCAAAACATACTTAAGTGCCTAATTGTACACTTCAAAATTTAACTGTGCTTGTTCTGTCACCGTTTTCTGTAAAGTTCTGTAAAATAATTTCCTTTATCTTAAAGCAAAATAAAAGCAGTCACTACATATTCTATATTTAAAAGTGTTATGTTAATGTCCACAGGGTTCTCTCCCATTTAAAAGTATAAATGAATCTTGTCCGATAGACTTAATACAAAAAAACCAACATCAGCATCTCATAAACAGTAATTCAACAGAGTTTGTTGAGACCATCATTTTGAAAATAAATATAAGTTATTAAAGACTATGCTGCAATCAGAATCAGAACTAGGAATAACACGGTTGAATCTGAGTCAGTCATAGTTGCTCTATAAAGGCTACAGAAATTAATGAAGTTTGAGAACTTTGAATCTGTGGATTCCCACCTAAAGGTTTTCAATGAAAAATACTTTCTTTTAAGGCAGGAATTTCCTGAACCCATCAGGCTACATTGTGATTTTTTGGGGCAAGTCAAGTTTTTTCAATAAATCTGCCACAAGCAAATTAGCCAGCAACCATGGATGCTTTTGACACTAGATTTTACCACCAGCAGCATCCTCTCAATTTGTCAGCTATGAAAGAGGTAAAGAGATGTGAAATACTTTTTCAACTGGAAAAATGTGCATTTTAATATGCTAATTAGCTGTACATGCATTTTCTCATATTGATTTCAATGAATCTATATTAAAAAATGAGCACATAGAGCAATTTATTTCACATATATAAACAAGGCATTCAATTCTTAAAGGCATGAAAGGTTCAGTTTTTTAAAGTATTGGTAACAAATCACTTCATTGAGCCACTACACAGAATAACAGTTTGAAAATCGGACTGTGAATTTCATGTGAATAAGAACACAAACCCTCATGCTTTCTTCTCCTTAGCAACAATGCATGTAGTTTAAGCAACTACTAAGTCTACACTGTCTTGATTTTTTGCAAAATCAAGGAACATTTAACAATGAAAAATAAAATGTATGTATATGGGATATATTTATTTACCTTATGTGGATTTTTGTAGCCCAAAAGTAAATTTGCTGCTTTAATGTCCCCATGTACATATTCATTTTCATGAATATATTCCAAGACATCCAGCTAGTAGGCAAGGAAAGACTGTGTTACAAAGGAAACCAGTATTGGTATTTATATTACAGTCATCCCCACAAGATTACTTAAAGGTTTAACAAGTTTTATTAAATACATGAAGAGAAATATTACAGGTAGTTCTCAACTTACAATTGACAATTGAGCCTAAAATTTCTGTTGCTAAGCAAAACACTTGTTAAGTGAATTTTGCCCTATTTTACAACCTTTCTTGTCACGGATCTTAAGTGAATCATTGCAGTTTTTAAGTTAGAAGTATGGTTGTTAAGTAAATCTGGCTTCCCCATCGATTCTGCTTGTCAGAAGGTTGCCAAAGGAGAACAAATGACCACAGGACACTGCAGCCGTCATAAATATGAGTCAATTGTTTTGATCACTGACCATGGTGAAGCCACACTGGTCGTAAATATGAAAAATGGTCATAAGTTATTTTTTTCAGTGCCATTTTAACTTTGAATGGCCACTAAATGAACTGTTGTAAGTTGAACACTACCTGTATTTTGAAGGAAAAACATATTTCTTAATCCAGAGTGAATAAGTAAAGTAAACTATTTGATTAAACATACAACTATATAATACATTGGCAGTATATTTTGAACAATCACTTAGAAGGGGCCAAGAAACTAATAGCCCTTCTTCCCACTTCCAGAACCTTCTGAAAACATATCACTGAAATTTGGTGCCATACTACTGATAAAATGCTCAGGTTTTTTTGCCAATTTTTAAATTTCAAGTAATAAAAATATATGTAAGTCATGACAGACTAAAAAGATCTTTTAAATATGAAATGCAGAAGCTCAGCTCAAGTTTTAATTAATTAGTTTCAAATCACTACAGCAGAGGAAGAGAAGGATGGAGAAAGTCCTTCTCCTTTGTAGTCTTTCTTTCAAGCAAAACTAAACAAAGATCATTTAAAAATACATATGCAAGACAGTAGTTAAAACTCAAAGGCCCATTGATCCCCATCCCAGATTTACTCTGAGGTTTCATACCTACCACTTGCATCCCAATCTGCAGAACAGTTTCCTTGTCAAATGTTCTCCCTTTTCTTTCAAAGATGGTTTGAAGATCTTCTCCTAATCTTTCCATCACCATAAACCTGTAACTAATATGACCACAAAGAAAAACAATGAAAACATACTGCCTTACATAAAAAGTCAACAGCAAAAGCAAATGTATATGAGTGAAATAAACTGATTTGGCAGTTATACAAAGCACATCCTTCCACATTATCCTAAAGTTTCCTCATTTCTTTCAGGGAAGGACAAATAAAATTCCCTACCCCCAGAATTCTTGTTCAGCTCTACTGTATTGTAATGTCTTCCTTACCTTTTACCAAGATGTTTGACTTGGCCTGTTCCCAAGAAAACAGGAATGCCTAAAAATGTTAGTTGTTTCAGCTTCATCCATTTTTTGACTGAGAAAACATGAGAAGAAAACAGGTTCATTAAACTGTCCAGCTTCTTTTAAAAATGAAACATAATCATGGTTTTTGGAAACATCAGAATACAATGTTATTAAAATGAATATACACATCAGGTATATTTGCTAAAAGTAACACTGAAGTAAAAGTTGAATTTTCCCAAGTGATTGTTCTCAAGCCATTATTCCTGAAAAAGTATTAATGGTAGCTTGACTTAGGAAAGTTCTGTTGCCTGACTTACTATGTTCTTGTTTTGCAGCTCGTTGGTAGAATTTCAGTTCTGAAAATAAGGGCCCATTTTCAAGATATTCCTATACAGATATATATAAAGGTAAAAGGTGTCATGTCAGTTTTGTGTTACACATGACTGAGTGTTGCACATAAATAGGAAAAGTGCTACGAAGTGGAGCTTGATTAAATATGAGGAGAAAGGACAACACACATCATCTTTGTCTAGTCACTCCATCTAGATTTTATTTGATTTGAAATCTGGAACAACCAAGGCATTCTAGGCTCCAGTTCTGCTGAACTATGGCTGGCTTGAAAGAATCTGGCAGAATTTTGAAAGGCAAACCTTTTGTCTGAATTATAAAATCCATGTTTTATGTAGACTCCTCATGAGGATAATGCCTTCCAACTATACATTACAGAATTTTCAAAAAGGAATGAAAGCATGGGAGACTTTGATAACTGAAACATCTTTTGGGAGACTGATTCTGCCTTGCATAGTCCTTCTAGGAAATTTATAATTTCTGTTGTGGTAACTTTGTCTTTCAGGTCATGGAGAAAGGCACAACTGAATCAGGCATCCCTGACATTTTATTAATCAATAGGAAAGATTTTAGTATTAAGGAGATTAAAGTAAACTTCCCGTGTAATTTTGAAAAGACTATTTTAATTAAATATACCATTTTTTTTTCAATTCACAGAAGTTTGGAAAGACACTAAGTAAAGTAGCTCAAACTCTGCCCATCTATCTATTGGCACAGTAACTCCAAAAACTGAACAGAGCATAGCTACATTTGTTGTGGTGGAAGATGGCAAAAGAAAGATGAATGCACAAATAGGTGGATCAAGCTGGAGGCTATTATATAGCTATTCGAAAAAACAGTTACCTCCATTTCTATGGGAGAGCAGTTGGGAAGTGGATTGGCTTATTACTGAGTATTCCATCTAAGTGTTATTTTTTTCTGGTCACAAGTTCCAGAGCAAAGCATACAACGCTGACCTTATGCTTTCCAATCCACACACCATGTGATGGAATGTAATAGGCTGGACTCCAAGAGGGAAGGTCTGCATTCCAGAGAAATAAGAGACAACTCAGTTCAGATAGTTTATGTGAGAGAAAGAGGGTGAAGACAGCCTTTCCCTAATAGTTCTCAAAGTATATCCTTCATGTAGGTAGTAGTCTGCCTTAGTTTGGCAAGATTCTGTCTATAGATGAGGAACAATACAGAAATTGTTGGAAGAATCGCTATGTGTCTTTTTTGGTTTTTGGAACGTGACATACTAACCTATATAGATGTAAGAGACCTGAAATACAAAAGTACTCATCAACAGGCAGGATCACCAACAACACAATACAGGTACCTCCTATAACAACTGTTAGTAAAGGTTGGAAAGAATACCAAAATCAGAGTAATACATGGTGATAACTTTTCTAAAAAAAAATAAATTCCTTCCTTTGTTGCATCTTTTTAAGATAGAGCATCTTGATAGAGCAAGTATTGTCTTAAGATGTTCTGTGAATCTTCTGTCTAAAAGAGTACATTCACTTTAAATAAATAAATAAATAAATAAATAATGTAAGGAAAGTATGCAATTCCATTGGATTAGAAATAATAAAAAGGCAACAATATTTTTAAAATTATAAAAAATACCACTTTAATGACGTGCACAGCATTGTCTTCTACTGGAACATCAAGACAAGGGGAAGCTGCAAGACAAAATTAAGGCAGAGAAAGTTATGGAAGACTTCAACCACTTTATCCAGAACTGAATTTCAATTCAACAACAGAAGATATGATGTAGTTATGTTCCTGCACAAATTATATTACAAACTGGAAAAGCATTTTTCTTTAAAAATTTTTTGGCTAAAACTGAAAGAATGTAATTTTTTCATTGTTTTCTTCATGACATTTTATTTATTTATTTTTTTATTTATAATTTAATTTGTATCCCGCCCTTCTCCTCACCAGACTCAGGGCGGCTAACAGCCTTATAAAACAACATTACAATAAATATCCATGTTAAAACCAAATTAAAAGAAAATATTCGTAAAGGCCAATCGTTAAAATTACCCTTAAAATTACCCTTAAAAACCCCACTAAAATTCCCTAGGCCAAACCCGCTTGTTGAAAAAGCCATGTCTTTAGGGCGCAGCGGAAGGAGGGGAGATCCGGGATCACCCGGATCTCTGGGGGTAGTTCGTTCCAGAGGGTGGGGGCT